TCCTGAAACCAGAGTTAGAAGAAATATTCCTCAGGGATGACACTACCTGGACTGGTGCTTCTCTTGCTCTCCTGCACTGGTTATTTGTTTATCTTCATTGCTGCTACATATCAAAAGGCTTTTAGCTCTTAGTCTATTGGTTTGTCTATTGCAGAGCTTTTAGTAATGGTTATTTCCTGGTAGTGAATGCTGAACTTGGTCTAGGGGGACCTGTTTGTAGCATAGTTTTCCGCAATTTCCCAAAATTTACACAGCAATTCCAAGCTTATTATATGGGGCATAGTATGTAATTACAGGCATAACATATTAGGTCCTAATAACAGCAAATATATCATTACACAAATCATTCATGTTCCTGTGCTGATATTTTTATATGGAGCAGTGAATACAATTACTAATAATGACAATACCCATCTTACAGCTGCAGTGTAATTGCTGCCACCGTGACATGAAGCAGGGCAGGGGCAGAAGTAAGGAAACTGCCACTGAAATATGGTTGAGTCCATGAAATACCACGTCCAAAAAGGTGGAAACCCTCTCTTTATAGTTTATATATGAGAATTTGATTCATTAACACCCAGTAAGAAGGTTCCACATTTTCTTGCTTAGATGATGGATCTCCTAGTTATTTATGGGAAGGGGAGATGGTTTTCCAGACCCCAGAGTTGTGGAGGGAGGGAAGGAATCCTGTAAATGCAACAGTTAAGATAGTTGAGGCAGCAGGTCACCAGTGAGCTGTGCACATGATGTGTCTCACCTTCCAGCTTGGAAAAGCTGGGCTCAGCCCAGGATTTGTAATAAAAGTGCTTTGAGTCACAATAGACCTCCCCTAAAAGGTGATCCCAGCCAAAGGTACGTAGCTTGTACGGAGAAGGTGTTAGTGCTGGCATCTGTCAGACAGCCCTGGGTGGGAATTAAGGACACAGAAGGGGTTCAAGGCCAGTCCTGACCTTTGCATGCAGCTCTGTGAGGGATTTGTGTTCATACATGTGGGTTTATGAGGATTTATGAGTGATTTGGGTTGATGCACATTGGTTTATGGGTTGGTAAAGCACTGCTGTCCCAGCACTCCAAGATGCACCATCTCAGCCCTTGGCACGAGGGCAGCTTGGTGGAAGGTAGAAACAATAGAGATTTCTTTTTCCTGTACTACTATATCTAAAAGTTCAGGCAGTGACTTTTGTTTCAACATCTACATATTTATATCTGCTGCGCAGTTTAGGCTGAAATTTGTTTCCTTTGCTGACAGGTTAACCTGCTTTCTGGGGTCTGTCTGCAGCAGCCCACCAGCACCTTTGCCAACACTAACCTGGATTTACAATGCTGAGCCCCCATTTTCCACAGCAGCAGGACAAGGGTCAGCCACTCTCGTTCTGTTTATGTCTCCAGAGCACTTCAAAGTGACAACAGGAGGAGAAAAAACCAATAGGCTTGGGTCTGCCCTGAGGTGTATCCTCGGGGGCACATGGTTGGGTGTTATTAACAGGAATTAGTTTGTACTTGGCCACCTTGGTTTGGGCAGAAAGTTTCTGTTTTGGCACCCTGTTTTGGTATGGAAATATCCCAGTGAGAGCAGAAATGATGAATGGGAACCATGGCAGCCAGAACCAGTTTGCCAAAGTGATTTTACCCAGCCACGCAAAGACTGCTGGGTTAGCCTGAGTGGGAGCATTTCTATTGATGTGGGGCAGAGGGAGGAGATGCTCAGCTGAGCCTGGTGAGGGTTGTCCTGCAAATGTGGTTGTGCTGGTCTAGAAATCATATAATCATAGAATATCCTGAACTGGGGAGGACCCACAAGGACCATCAAAGCTCAACTCCCAGCCCTACACAGGAAAAGCCCAAAAATCACACGGTGTGCCTGACAGCATTATCAACAGATCTCAAACTCTGTCAGGCTTGGTGCTGTGGCCACTTTGCTGGGGAGCCTGTTCCAGTGCCCAGCACCTTCTGGGTAAAGTTCATTTTCTTAATATCCAACCTAAACATCCCCTGGCACAACTTCCTGCTGTTCCTTCAGGTCCTAATGGTTACATCCAACACTGAAAGCCACTTTGAGCTCAGTGTTCAAGGGTAGAAAGGGTAAGAAAAGGTCATATTACTCCCCTGCATCTCTACTAACCCCACCAACCACAAGCAACAGGAAACCCTCAAAATAAAGGAATGTGGCTTTATGGGACTCTTTATTCCACACATTTGAGACCTCATAGACTGCCTTTCAAGCCCTGGCAACTTCAGGTGTTATATAAGTGGTGATACAAAACCTGGCTTGAAGAAGTTTGGATTTAAAGGTGTCTGCAGGACAGAGCTCCCTGTGCAAGAAGGACTTGGCAGCTGCAAGGACATTATTTAGCAAGCAGGTAAAAGGTGACTGCTGCTGGAAATCCTGTGCAGGACTTCGAACAAGTCTGGCAGTGTTGTCACTTTTATAAGAGGATCCTTTGGTATCCTTTGGTTTGGTATCAACTTGGCCACTGAATTCCTTCAGCAATTGCTAGATCAGAATTAAAGGGAAGAGCTGATGCCCTTCACCCACCACAACTGGCACCTTTGCAGTGGATGCAGTATGAGCAGTGGGTGCAGTGCTTTACTACTAGGAAAGGTTACTGTGTTGGTGTGTGATTTCTTATTAAATATAGCATCTGGGTCTAATGTGGCATTCAGCATCTGTGAAAAACCCGAATATCTCCTCTTTACATAGCGAACATCATCTCCCCCCAGTCCCATGGTGGGTCAGGGTCAGCTGAGCAGAGCTGTCATCCTTTGTGGGGGCTGTTTTTTCCAAGGCTCCTGTGCCCTCCCATCCAGTACGTGGAGCTGGGAGTTGGCGCCAACTGGGAGCAAAGGTTTTGGCTCTGCTGACCCCAGGGAGGTGACAGCACGAGGGCTGTTTTGCTTTTCCAGCATGATAACAAACATCATTCCCTTGTTATCTTCAGAGAGACAGACCTCTTAGGGAGGGCAGGAGTGAGGCAAGGTCAGCTCTGTACCTCAGCTGACACCACTGTGTGCCCGCCCATGAAAGCCTCCATGGCAGTGCCCAAACTCACATGTTTGCCACCCTTTGGTAAACATTTATCCTTCTTGTTGTTGTCAGGGCTGGTTGGTGGAGCTGGGCTGAGATGCAGGGGCAGTGGCAGGGGTGGCATTGCTGCTCCTCTCACCTTGCCTGACCTCCCTGTGATTCAAAAGCACCCACACAGTCTCTTCAGAGTCTCGCTCACTTGAATCAGGCAAACCAGTTTATTTTTTTAGCTTTTAGGGACTTTTGTTCTGCCATCTCGTACTGGAGGGTGGGAATAGCAGGGAATATTTAAGGAAAGTGAATTTGGGAATTTTTAAGTGAGCAATGTAACCCCAAGGGTTAATATTTCCCTAATCAGGGGGACAAAAAAATACTGTGTGACCTCAAGCCCCAGTTGTAACCCAGTGATGATGTCCAGCTTGTGACTTACGTATTTGCAGCAAATTCCTTATCTATAACGGGCATTGAAAGGAAAAAAAGGGTAAATAAAGCCTATCAGCAGTATTGTATCGTTGACCCTCCCTGCAGACCTTGCTCTGCTGATAATTATTAACTCAAACGGAGAGCCATTGCAGAACTCATAACTAAAATATGATGGTACTTCTCAAATTAAAAATACTCAGTGAATACTTCACTCTGCTCAAAGAAATGCCCACAGGGTTTCTTGTGTGTACCAGGACAACTTGGGGTTATCCCCATTACTCTTGCTCAAAACCCAGGTGGGAGAATTGCAGCATGGCCATTGCAAAACCTACTGCTCTCCCTTTAGGTCATCCTGTGAGGTTGTTTTGTTTTGTTCGTTTTTTTTCCTACTGCCTTCCATTTCCCTTTTTCTCACTGTTTTCTCTGGCTGGGCCACACACACGAGGTCCAGTTGCTTGCTGGTTCTTGAAAGCAAATGCACTTTAAATCCAGTCCTTTGACATGAGTGCAAACAGCCCTGGAGCAGTCCCGCAGTCAGTGAGCTCAGCCCCTCTCCCCATTATAAGCTAAAAAGTTGGCTTTAATGTATATCATAAAAGACATTGTTAAAAACTGTGCTTTAATAAAGAAATACAAATGACAATCTAAAAATGTATTTTATTGGGCTGCTAATAATGACCAGCGGTGAGAGTGGAGGGGGGAGCAATATAATGAGCTCCTGGGAGGGGTTTTGGACACAGCTGACCCAGAAATCTGGTAGAAGACATCTCGAGCTCACTGGGAGCCAGGGGACTTGGCACCGAGCAGCCTGGCACCCCAGACTCAGGCTTTGCACAGCAGCTCCCCAGCTCGGGGCTCACCAGCCAATTGCTCAGCTTGGGAAATAACCAGGCAGGCACTGAGGAGTTCAAGTTTTGTGTATTCACGTCAGTAAAACAGAGACTATTCCCTCCCCTGCCCAGTGACTCTGGCCCGCCCCATCCCCTCTCCCGCCCCGGTGCCGGGCGCTGCTTGGCCAGACCCACGCTGGAGTAAGTCAGACCCACGGGAACCTGATTCACACTGAGTGCCAGGATGTGAATCTGGCCTCACAGTATTTCCCCTTGAGATTAACAAAACATGTTAATCTTCTTGGTTTGGAAACTCGTATTTTTTTTACTTGAACACAGAGCTCTGTCCCTCCATCATTAGCAGATGTCCTGCATATGAACTGCATTACCTATAAAGTCTGCTTACTCCAAGCAAATGTTTCTCCATCTCTTCTCCTTTTTTTTTTTACTTCAATTTGAAGTGAAAGGTACAGTATAGGATTCAAATGCTTTTGCATTACATGGGTTTCTGACCACTTGTAAAACCCCATGGAAAAAATGACTTCACAAACCTGAAACACTGGCTGAATCATTTTGCTGCACTTCTTTCTGCCTGGCTGAACTTTCTTGTGATTTCTTTTTTTTTTTTTTTTTTTTTTTTTTTTTTTTTTTTTTTTTTTTTTTTTTTTTTTTTTTTTTTTTTTTTTTTTTTTTTTTTTGCTTTACATGGCACTTTGCTTTTGCTTGTTTAATTTTATTTCTTTATTAAAAAAAAATCATAGCTCCTGTTTCAGCTCTCACTTCGTGTCAGTATTTCTACCCTGTGGATGTGTCGCACAGGAAGGAACATCAGGAAATTGCCCAAAAGGCAGAACTACAGAGTAGCTCAAAGGAAGAAGCAAATCTGAACGCCAAAGCATGGTTTGGTGCTGTCCCATCTCTTGCCCACACCAAATGCTGGCTCCAGGGCTGCAGGCAGGGAAGTGCAGGCTGAAGAAATAAGAGGTAACTCACAGAAGGGTACAGAAATTGGGCTTTGTCACCGACAGCTGGCTGGCCTGCTTGCCACGATCTGAATGGCTCCTCTGACTTTTCTTTGGCTCAAAGATTTAGCATTAAGGCAAAAATAAGACACAGTGTAGAAGCTCCATCAAATCTTTGGCACAACAGCAACAACAATAACAACAAAAAATTACTGTACACATGAGCTGAGAGGGTAACATTTCCCAGTTAAGCAAAGGGAAAAGTGCTAAATAAATTGCACGTACGAAAAGGTGGCTGGCTTAACAACAATAAGAAGCATCCCTGTCCTTTCGTTTTTCCTTTTCTTTTCCTTTTTTCCTTTCTGTTCCAGAGATTAAGAAAGTTCCTCGGCCAATCGTCATCTCCAATAGGGGTTTCTGCAAAAAAGCTGCTTTCAGTCTTCATCTGGATTGTGCAACCTTTGCCAAGACCAGATGTAACTCTGTCTGGAAGCTCTTCTGAATCCTCCCTTCCTGGTTGTTACTCCTGGAAAGAGAGAGATGCACCATGAGAACCGTGAACACATGGTGTCCCTTGCATGGGCTGTTGCTGACGTACGTGGGACCATCCTTGGGGACTGCTGGCCAGGGATCTGCAATTTTCAAGAGCTGGGCTCACAGTGGAACCATCTGTAGGTGCCACAATGGAGGCCAGAGCCTGCACAGAGGCGAGGGAGTGGCAAACAGGAAGAGGAAGGCTTGGGGAAGAAAAACACCACAGTAATTTGGTGTTGGGTCCAACTCCTGCTGAAAAAAAAAAAAAATATAGAAGTGATGGCAAATACCTGCTATTTTCAGTTCAGGAGCTGATCTCAGAAAGAAAAGGAGTTGCAACTAGATGGGTTTTTGCAGGAGATGGGCTTTCCTTCCACATTTTAGTTGTTGTATTGAGTTTTCTGCAGGCATGGCTGCTCAGTCTGTGGGACTGCAACTTGTCCCATGTGTCTGTGCATTCCCCTGTGAGTCACAGCTGTGGCAGATTACTTGGGAAATTACACTGGGCTACAGAATATTATGGCCAGATCCATAGGAAAATTGTCAACTCCAAACCATGGCAGCTTTAGGCAAGGAAATCTCATCTAAACCCCCTTCAGCATTAAAATAAGCCCCACAAATATCCCACAAACAATCGTTAACATAGTTCAAAACAGAGGAAAATCCTCAGGGCCTGAGGATTTCATGAGATCACATCTCTATTGTCCAAACTGCCTTCATCACGTGGGCTCTAAATCCTCTTTTAAATAACTTAGGAATTAGAAACTTGGAAATGAGATCACATTTTGCTAGTGCTACCAGCGTTTCTTGCTTTTTGCCAGTGGATTTAAGAACGTTTCAGGGTGCAGTACAGCTTCTGAAAGTCCTTTGGACACAGTCGCCAATGCCCTGAATAGGTCAGCCATATTTCTGTCAGTCTTAATAAGGTCAAACTCCTTAAAACCTGGCCTCAAAAACTTTCTTCCCACTCTGTTTTGTTTTTGTACTGCCTCTCCTTTTCCATCACTGGATATTGTAACATCAGGGTATAAAATACTAGTAACCTACTGGTATTTATTTGATTTATGACTATCATTAGGGCAGCTGCTGTGAGATCAATGATTACAGCTGATCATCCATGACAGGCTAAGGGACAGGGGAACCTAAAATCCACCTTTTCACCCCTTGCTGTCAAGTGCAGACCAGGGAAACTCAGGACTGCCCCAGGACCATCAAGGTTTCTCTTGATAAGAATATTTCACTAAAAACACCCAGATCATCCTCCATGCAATAAATGCTGGTGTCTGTTGGACGTCTGGAGTTGTCTCTGGACAATCCTACCTAGTGCTGCTCAGAGAAGTTAGAAAAACTTGCTCTAATTCAAGGCCTTATTTGGGATTTTGAATAAATGAAGTTCAGGTGGAAGAATGACAAACAGCCTTGTGTATTGCCAACGTTTCTGTTGGGACCCTTCAACAATATGTAATATATATAAATAACCTGTAATAGAAAAGTTGGTTGTTTTAATTTATCCCACATTTACCTATGGACAGAAAATGTAAAAGAAGGGAAGTGATGATTGCTCTCATTAATTTTAAAAGACAGCACAGAGATCAAAAGCATTTGTGGGTTTGGGAAAGCAGGATGGCTTTAGGAAGAGGAGTCACAGTGCCAGATCTCTGCTCTGAAGTCTCTGCAGTTGGGGAAGATCAACCATGGGGGGACAAGAGGGAATATGCACAAACCAGGCAAGGGCATTTGTGCTGTACCTTCCAGACACAGGAGATGGAAAGGGGAATGGATAGATTCCCCTGCAACACGATGGAGATGCTCAGCACACCTCACTGGCACCACTTGACGAGTCCCCAGGCACTTCCCAATGCTTGGCCATGGGTTATGTTTGGTGGCAACAGGCTTTTGTTTCCCCCTCCACCCTTTTTCACTCAGCCAGGAGCTCTGAAGACAGATTTATGAGCCTGGGTCTGCTTTAAACTAATAACATCAGAACTCCCATGGCTCTTGAATTTGACAACTGGCCCAATGACCTTGGTGAGTTTGCAGCATCCTGGAGCATTTCAATCTCCATAAATCAAAGCACTTCTGGAATTGAGTCAGCCTTTGTTCCAGGGCTTCTCCTGTCTCTTCTACTCAAATCTTCCTTTTGCTGCAGTTACCCAATATGTGTGGGGTGGATCTTACCCTATTCTTGGCAACACCCTTGCTCCAAAGGGCTGGACCCTGTGCTGGGATCCTGCTCCCACCATGGGAGCAAATCCCTGCTCCCATCCCTGTGCTGTGGTGTGACTGTTCCAACACTCTTTAAAGGAAAGGGGGTTTTGGGGTGATACAACAGGGGAGTCCCACATCACATCTTTTTGTCAAGAAAAGCTTTGGGCCCTGCTCTTTGGGGTACTGATGCTCAATGCCCCAGTGGGCCGATGCTGGGTGTGCAGTGCCCTTGGGGATGCCCCTGGGGTAGCTGCTGCTGCCTCCCTGTCCAGAGTTGGGTGATTTTGCTCATGAACTTGTCACAAACCTTAGGACCCGTGTCCCACCTGCAAGCCTTGTTTTGGGCTGCAGGGACATACAAGACACAAGTGATAAGCAAATTAATCTCACTGCCTTGTTTTTAACCAGGTCCCTGGGGTGGGTAATCCTTCAGCCAGCAAGCAGCAGGGATAACCCATGGCCAGGCAGACCCAGGTCCCTTCTGTCCCCCCAGGGATGCTGTCCCATGGCAGATGGACAGATGGACAGGCAGCTCGCTGCTCTCCTGTGGTCCAGCTCCTCCTGGAGCCCGCGGAGCTGGCGGCCGTGGGGATCAGACTGGCTGGCTGCCCGCTCCCGCCGGCAAGTCCTAGCAGGGAAATGAAGCTATTTTTAAAGAGGAACCTCTGCTAAGTCAAACTGCAGGGGAAAGGGAGGTTGAATCTCATTATGAGACCCCCCTCCTCCCCACACAGGATGGGAAGCCATGAGGAAGAAATGCCATGCGGATCATCAAGGTTTTACTGTGCTGGCTCTGAATGGTTCTGATAATCAATATCAGATGATCAATAACAGCAAGACCCTGCAGCCAGGATCATCCACACAAACCAGGGGGTGGCAGCTGTGGCTTTATCTCGGGGCTTTGTTGAAATAAATCACGAGTCATGATACGGTGTTATCAAAAAAATATGCTCCAAGCAAATGGTTTCAGTGCTGTACAAATCAAGTCTGCCACTACCATTTCTCTTTTATAATATAAACCCTTAACTTGTTCTCTCCTGCAAGTAAGTATGCCTCCAGAATGCCCTCCTTCCAATTTTTTCAGTGGGAATAAGTGTTACCTACAGCAGGAGCTCTGCTTTTAGCAAAGTAGCAATGAGGGGGCATCAAGGCATGGCACAACACCACAATAACTATTTTATATAATGCAATAATTACATACATAATGTCAGCTCTTTTAGTGCAGCAGGCTGCAAGAAACAGAAAAGCTCTTCATTCCATATATGTTTCTATATAATTCAATTATCTGGGAAAAGATATATGTACAGCGTATTTTTAATTTTTAATTTCTTGTGTCTGTGCTCATCCACACACACAGGCACAAAAACAAGCAACTAAATTCCAGCCGAAAACTTTTATTGAGCTCCAACTGCTCGCCTGTTATTCATAACCCAGTTTCCTCTCTCACAAAGAGACCTTTCGCATGTTTTTTTTTTTTTTTAATGTGTGATTTTTTTTTTTTTTTTTTTTTTTTTTTTTTTTTTTTTTTTCCCCTTCTGCCTCGCTAACAGCTGCTCGCAGTGTTGTATCCTGAGTGATGATGAGGTTCTGAAAGTGTTTTTTTGGAACAGATGGCCAGGAGAGAGCTGGGGAATGTGCCAGCAGCGAGCTGGGGAATGCGCCAAGTCCTGCAGTGACTGAGTACTCCGGGTTCCAGCTCGCGTGCCTTTCCCCTGCCCTCTGCCCCAAGTGGCGCCAGCAGGACTTCCCAGCTCGCGCTCCGAACATCTGGAGTCTGCGACTGCCAGAAGAGCCGGGACGGGGGGAGGATGAAGCAGAGAGAGGAAAAAAAAATCCCTCACCCATCCCTCCCTGCTCGGGCTGAGCTCCCATGGCCACGGCGATGGTGCTGCCTAGCACGGGGGGCTAAGCGAACCTTGCCATGGGTTCTTGGGGTTTTGGGTGCTGGGTGTGCTGTGCAGGGTGTCTGTACGCCCTTGGATCCTGCTCTGTGTATACTGAGCGACTGTGGTGGTGCTGATTGCTGGGGAAATCAGTTCTGCCCCACAGCTTTGGGGCCAGATCCTGTGGGGCTGGAGGTTTAGGGGGCTGGGATGCACAGCTCTGCACCCCTACAAATGTCAGTCGCCAGGGAGGGCCCCCAGCCATGCACCCTCACAGCCTTGTCCTGACCCTCAGCTGCTTTCCTGCAGAAATTCCCCCAGAATTCAGCCCTCTGGAGGAAAAGCTGGACAAAAGGGAGAGTGGGACCAGCAAGCTGGGCCCCAAACACTACAGATCCCTGTGAGGCTTTCAGATAACCCCTGGCCACTGAGGAGCACGTGCCATGAAGAAACAGGGCACCTCGGCAGTAAGGAAAACTTGGATTTCCCTTTCTCTTGCTGTTCCATCCTCTGTACTCCTGGCTGGAGCTGAAGGCAGTTCCCCCCTCCTTTTTCCAGGACATCAGTGTGGCAGGACTTGGGGCTCTGCTGAGGGTGTTGCAACCCAGATCTCCAACATGGTGAAACTCTTTGGTGCACAGTTAAAGACAAGGCTTAGTCCAGAAAATTTATAACCAAGCAAGAGGCAGCTTTAAAGAATGAAAACTATCATCAGAATTCACCACCACCACCCCCCCACAGTCAACTTTTTTTTCTTCTTTTTTAAGAAAAGGCATCTGAAGCCTCCTTTGTTGCTTATAAATGAGATCTCCCATCACCAAACACCCTTGGTTAAGTCTCAATTGCAATAACTAAAATCACCTTATAACTGCAGTTAGGACAGAGAAGGGGATTTTTTTTCCTAGTCAAATTTGAAAGACTAAAGCCAACTTTTATAATTAAGAAAATGGGAATAGAAGTGGGGTGGGGGGTAAAACCACTCAGTAAATTTCCTATTGCAAAAGCAAAATCTGAACAACAACCTAGCGTTAGGGACACAAGATAATTCACCCCCAAAAACAAAGCAAAAGGCAATGCACAATCCAGCAAATGCAACATCTGGAGTCTCTGCCTGCCAAAACAAACTCCAACCAGCTACTTTTTTGTGTGAAAAGATCACGGTGCCACAGCACATTGCAACCAGAGCACTGAGAGAGTGAGAGAGGCAGACACACAATAAAATGGAGATGACAGGAGATAAGGGTGGTGTGGACCTAACGTGGAGCTCAAGGAGCGGAGGGCTGCGCTCAGGATCCTGTGATTTTTTAAAGGGAGAATATAAAAGGAAGCTCAAAAAAACCATTAACAAAATAACAACCACCCCAAAGTCGATAATTCACAGGAACTGCTCAGTGAGTAGTGGTTTCAGAGACCTGATTAAAAACACACAGAGCTCACAAAAACGTGCCGATTTCAACATTAATGAGGGCGCGGTGATTTTGGGCCAAGCCATTGTATCCTCATCCAGCCGTCCGTGTGAGACCCCCCAGGAGAGACATCCCTTCACACCACCTGACATCCAGAGCTTGGATTGGCACTGCACAGCCATCCCGGATCTGTAATTTCCCTCTGACAACAGCCTTTTCCTCCTCTGTGCTCACGACTTGCTTGGCTCGAGGAGAAAGGGAGACATGCAAGATGAGTCCTCCCAACCCAGGCTTTGCATCCCCACTCTTATCGACTGGGATTTACCAGAGTTACTTAGTGGTGCCTGCTGGTTTTGGCTTCACCAGCAGCTGGATGTGCTCTTGCCATCACCTGAGCAAATACTGCTGGAAATAAAACTGTACTTGTCATCCATCAGGGAATCTATGTGCTCTGGGACTGCTCTAAACTTGCAGCAGAACTTTAATTTCCAGCATGACAAGCAAGCCAGAGCAGGGATTAAGACCCTGCCTTGGGTACCAAGCCGGGCTTGCTTTTCTGAGAGGGTTTTTGGAGAAGGTTTAGGGTGGATGTCCTTCAAGAATATGGAGAAAGGGCAGATTTTCTCCTGGTGATGCTGTTTCTGTGGGTTGGTGGTGCCTGGGAGGCAGGAGGTGCTCTGGTAGAGTTCCATTGTTCAGGCACTCTCGACTGGCTTGGGGCTTTTCTCCACACATCCGCTCTGGAGTAAACCACCGTAAATGGAAAGCTTTTAATTCTTAATTAATTTTTTAAATTAAGGATGGGCGCAGCTCTAACCCTCAGATGTGAACACCCTGGGATTTGGAGCCATTCAAAATCTGGCTCCTTGTTTCCTCTCCTTAAGCCTGCACTGGTTTACATAAGCCAAGACAATGGGTCTCAGCCCACTGGGCACCCAAAGCTTGAAGAGCAGCCCAGAAATGTGCTGAAGCCCCATGAAGGATGCTCATTCTCTTCTTTCCCTCCATTTTGACTTTGGGAGGGGACCCAAGACCTAACTAGCAATCTACTAAAGCCTCACAAAGGATGCTCATCCTCTTCTTGACATGGAGAGGGGTTCCAAAACCCAACCAGCAACCTGCTGAAGCCCCAAAAATTATGCTTTTCTCCTCCCCCATTTTTACTTGCAGAGGAGACCCAAGAACCAACTCTGATATTGCCTCAGGGTTTGTAGCACCTCTTCAGTGTCCCTGGGACACCACTGCCTGTGGCACTACAGAGCCCAGAGTGAACCCCCAGTTTGGGGCTGTGCCCAGGAGCTCCCCCACACCTCCCAGTCCCAGGCAGTGCTGTCAGCTGTGGGCAAGCGGTGCCGCATCCCCGCCTGGCACTGCTGCTCCGTGGGCATAAATACTGCCCATGACAGCCAGAGGAAGCAACAGGGAGTGTGCTATTGTGTTTATTTATAAACTGAATTGCTGCAGGATGATTTGTTGGGCTAAAGAGGAGGAAAAGTGAGGAAACCTGAGGAATCAGAGGCAGATCTTAACAACACTGGGGAAGGAGCCTGCTCCCCAGCTTAGCTGCCCATTCATCCATTAAAATCCTGCTGATTTATTATCCCGCCTGACAAGCAAGCTCAGAGAGCAGGGGGAAGTTCAAATCAAGTTTACAAAACTCTTTTTGTCATAAAAGCCTGAACAAAGACATCAATCACTCCTTTAATTCACCCATGTCACTCTCTGAGAGGAAAACTGGCAGAACGCTCTGCTTCTTCCTCCCTCCGCTTGACGATGATTTCACCTAATTGGTTCAGTGTTAAGTAACCTAAAGGAATGCAAGGCGTAATTAGATTTAACGTTGTTTCCTCAAGATACCCACATGTCCTTCAGGTCATACATCTTACTAATGTGTTTATACATATATTGTCTCCATTAGCTACCTTTTTTTTTTGTTGTCGGGTGATTTTTCTCAGAGATAAGTGTGAGATTAAAGAAAACAGAAAACACAGGCGGGCGACAGTGTTTTACAGGCTCCGAAAGGCGACTCAAGGTTGGTTTGGTTTAACAAGTAACAGTCCCAAGATGACTCTTAATAGGATCACGCTCGTGTTGAAGCACACGATGGGCGACTAACGAGGGGAAGAGCCTGGCACGGAGGATGGGGAGGAGAGAAAAGCTTTTGATTAGGGAGGAATGTGGTTATTACAAGATCAGATGGATAGAGGAGAAAAAGAGAGAGAGAGAAAGGCGAGGGATAAAAAATCAGGCAAATTTCACAAGGTTCGGAAAGGAAGGAAACCACTTTGGATTTTTTTTTCTTTTTTTTTTTTTTTCTGTCCCTTTTGTAACTTTTACCATTTTTTAGGGGGTGAGTTGGGGGAGAGGCTGTAACATACCTTCCTTTTTTTAGATCTTCCTTCTGCTTGTAAGGTCCTAGTGCACTGCTCCACGCATTCAGAGAAGCTCATGTTACTGTGGTCAGCGCTGTAATCCAGGTCTGCTAGTCTGGCCAGGGAAAGGATATAGTTACAGGCTATTCTCAAGATGGCCAGTTTGGACAACTTTTGACCATAAGAATAGCAGGGAACCTAGAAAGGGTAACAGGGAAAAAGAAATAATTAAAAATTAGGCCAGATAAACAAAATATCTTGCTTGAAGCATGACAAAACAACTGTGAGTTATTTTCTTAGCAGTTTTAACATAAATAGAAACTCCAGTGATAAAATGCCATATGGTCCCAACAGGTTTTTAAGAAGAACTCCCCTGCTGATCTCCATGGGGATGAAAGCAGCACGAAGCCTCTTGATTTCAGCAGGGAAGTTCTGCTTAAAATGTGATGGCAGGATACGGCCTGGGACGTGTGCCTGATGCTCTGTTCACTTCTTGGGGGCCCTTTTCCTTAGAAACCTGCATCCCCATGCCTCCCAGTAACTTGTCTTGAGTAACTTACTCCCCACAATTAGCTCCCATGTCCTCACAGGTCTTGCAGAATAAGGCAATAAGAAGGTACGAACAACTATATCACAACCCGTTGTTTTTGTGCTCAAACAACATTAATTGTGGCTTTCAGCCCATGTAAAAACACGAGGTTGTTGAGTAGCAGGACCTTGAGCAAGCAGTAATTTCTGCCTGTTTAAATACTCCACAAAAAAGACCAAAACAGTGCCCGTTTCAGGGAGCTGGGTGTATCTTATGCAATTTATTTCTTCACCCTTAAAGATTTCTACTGTAATGTGAACCATTTGAACAATTCAAACTAAACTGAATGTGTCTCAATAACTGAGCAGTATATGGTTCTTCCTGCAGAGGAGTGGGTTGCTTTTCAATCATGATCTAGAAAAACAGTATATCTACACTCGATTTTAGGCATACAACTTTAATATGTCCAGCTTTAAGAGAGGTCTTCTGAACTCAATAGGCACCCCATTTTCTAGTTTGCAAAATTGCTGAAGGTCGCTCAGCCTTTAACAAACAAGAGTCTCTTGCTTATGAGAAACTGAAGCTGTACATTCATCTGAAATCCATCTGAGCCCCTCAGGTTGTCTGGCCACCTGTCAAAGTTTTCACAGTCATCAATCACTGGAACACCTCAATGTTTCTCTACCACCTGCCTCCGTACCAGTCTGCATTCTCCACACCCCTCTAGAGTGTCACACTCAGCTTAGGGCTGGAGATTCTTGTTTCCTCTTGCCATGCTCATGCCTCAGCTTCTCTCTCCTCCACAGGGACACAAAGATGGGATCACCCCCATCAAGTGAAGGAATGCTCTCCTTGACTTTACAGAAGGTAAAATGGGTTCAGCCCCACAGCAGCCACAGATGCCAAAGGAGGAGCAGAACAGCTCAGGCATATATAGGATTTTTCCAAGTATTCTGTCAGGTTCCAGCTACCATCACCTCCATCACTTCAACTAGATGTGCCATCCCCAAATTTAACAACCCATGATAGATCTTTTCTGTCATGAACTTGGTCTGGTAAGCTGAACCAATCCTGTTGATTTTGAGCAGCCACAACATCTTTTTGCAAAGCATTCTCTCCAGTCTATATAATTTTTTTTTCTCTTTTTGCTTGTTTTGAACTTGGCTCCTACTGTCTTCCCTTGAGGTACTACAGTTCTGTATTAGAAGAGAAGACAACAGATATTTATTCACCTCCTGTGTGACATATGTTTTTTAGTTCACCATCATCTCTTCAACCTATTTTCCAAAAGAAAAATATTAATCCTCCTTAGCAGACAGTTCTATGGAAGCCATCCCATATCTTTGATGACCCCTGCTGCTCCTTCCTGAACCTTTCCTAGTCCCTTTGGAGATGATCAGAACACAAAGCGTTCATGTTGTGCACATATCTAACAGATGCTTATGTTCTCTGTTTTCTTTAATATTCCTTTCTTCCTAACTCCTTTGATTTGATTTGTGACTGCTGCCAGACACTGACCTGAGACTTTCCTTGAGTCTTCTTGAGAAATCCCAAGGTCTCCCTTCTCTGAAATAATGGACAGCTTAGGGTCTATCACTTCATATGTGGACTCTGGTATGGCTTTTTCCATATGCATCACTTCACTTTATCTGTGTGGTATTTATTTCATTGGCCATATGATTACCTAATCACTCAGAGTCATGAACTTCAGCACAGCTCACACAGTCACAATTTCAGGTGGTGGAACCTGACATTCCCTGTTTAAAGCAGAGCTAAGCTCAGAATCAGATCGTGGTTTGTCCACTCATGATGTCCCTCACTGCAGGAACTGGCCCTTTTCCCCTACCCACCATTCCTTGCCTCTACACTAATCCACACTCCCATCCAAGCTGTTTGGTTTCTTCTTTCCTTGGAAGACCTCTGCCATGGTGCTTATGGAAATCCAAACAAATTGCTTGGCTCACCTTTACCCAAGAGCACAAGGATTTTAGTACAGCTGGTCCTATGGGCCATGTCTTGTACAACACATAGACTCCTTTAGGCTGGAAAACACCCCTAAGGACACAGACTCCATCCATTAACCCAGCACTGCCACCACTAAACCATGTCCCCAGGCACCACAGCTACAAATTTTCTGAACACTTCCAGTGATGGCGACTCTACCTCCCTGGGCAGGCTGTTCCAATGTTTGACCACCCTTTTTAGTGAAGATATTTTTCTAATATCCAATCTAAACCTCCCCTGGCACAACCTGAAGCCATTTCCTCTTGTCCTATCACTTGTTACCTGTAAGAAGAGACCAAATCCCACCTGGTTGCCCCCTCCTGTCACGGAGTTGTGCAGATCCAGAAGGTCCCTCCAAGCCTCCTTTTCTCAGGCTGAGTCCCCCAGCTCCCTCAGCTTCTCCCCATCAGACTTGTGCTCCAGACCCTTCCCCAGCTCTGTTGCCCTTCTCTGGACTTGCCGCAGCACCTTAATGTCCTTCTTGTAAAGAGGGACCCAAAACTGAACATAGGATTGGAGGTGTGATGTAGCTGAAGTGCCTCACCAGAAACCAGCCATAAAACTTCAAATGCCTTTTTTAAATAGTCACCATCTACTACTGATACCTCTGAAATACAAGGAATCACAGAATAGCTTGGGTTGGGAGGGACCTTTAAAGGTCACCTAGTCCAAATACTCTCCTGCAATGAGCAGGGACATGGCAGAAAATCTGCTTAAGAGCCCCTTTTTATCTGACAAAACCTCTCTCTAAATCCCTGCCTTCACTTTTTTTTTGCCAGCATTGTACACCCAGCAATGCCCATGCCCTCAGTACCTGGTCCCCAGATGCAGTGAGCTGACTTATTTTGAAAGCAAGAGCTTCAGGCAGCAGAAATACCCAAGTCTCTTTCGACACCAACGCAACGAAAACAGATCAAACGGCATCAGGAAAGAACAAAGCAAGATGGAAACTAAAATGGAAAGATTCAGTGAAATGTGGGAGTAATTTCAGAATTAGAGCAAGAAGGAAGTTAAATTGAGTGGAAGGAAAATAGACCATGAAATCCTTGAGGCTGATGCACAGACGCTGTCCAGTTACAACACGAGAAGGCAGGCTAGTGTCTCTTTTCCTCATCTGTTTTGCTCTTTCTTTTGTGTTTTAGGATTTTTATTTTTTTAAGGAAACAAAAAGAAACAAAACAAAACCCGAAGTATTTTGTAGGACGTGTTTGCTACAAAAGGCAAGGAAGATCTCAGTGCTAACACAGCTGACACAACCCTCATCTGGGACTACACAGCACTTTTCCCACACTAGTGCAGCAGAGTCCAAACTGGAGCTGCCCTGTGTGCCCATGGGAAGAGGTTCACCTTGAAATGTTCAGATACTCCTGTGATGGGTGCAGGGCACCAACATTAAGAGATAAGAGTTTTTTTTGCCATGGTAACAGTGTTAGAAAAACTATTTCATAGGAACCCTCCCTGTCTTGGCTCAGCTCCTGCCATTTTAATGTTTCCTTTTGAATTAAACATGGGAAATTAAGAGAGGAATGAGCCACTTAGTTCAAATCCAGAGCCAAAACTTCCCCAAGTGCGTCTGTGTGTAACTTTGGTATTATCTCTTCTTTAACACAAAGTCTACAGGAAAGAGGGGACACATTTGTACAAATTGCAGTATAGGGTGTCAGTGACACACCTGGATGCCAAGAAATCTTCAAAATCCAACTTAAAAAAAAGAGAGTGTTGTAGAGGTGGGAAAAATGCCTGGGGCTGGTGTGGCCCTGCAGGTGTAACCCTCCCAGCTCCCACAGTGTCTCCACACAGATCTCTGGCAGGCAGTAACGTGAGCAGGTATCTGTCATGCTCCTGGCAAGGACCAAACCCTTTCCTTCTGTCACCTTCTTGCTCCCCATGCCTGAACTGAACAGACTTCAGTGCTTCAATGGGGCAGCTGTGAGCTGAGCAAGTCCATCCAGAGCCAGGGGGAACCAGGCTTGAGTTCCTGGGCAGTTAATGCAAATATTTCCCTTATCTGACCTCACTGGTCTCTGCCGAGCGGCAGCACAGCTCACCATCTTGCCTGCAATATTTGCAATGATTAAAAGGAATTAGGAAGGAACTGCAACTGAAATTTCACACCAGTCCTGAGGAATGCAGCTGTCTGCTGGAAGGGCAAGGACAGCAGCACCATCCTCGGCTTTGGGACATCAGCACAGAGTGAGCTGGGATCACAGGAACCAGAGCTCCAGCCAGAGGATGTTTGCAAGTTGTGTCTGCAAAGGGCTCTGTGGAGTCTCATGGGTCTTATCAGTGATCCCCAGGCTGGCAGGAATTGAAGCAAGGCAAGATGAATGCTCCTGGGACATATTCCTGTGCAGAAGAGCCCTTCTTTGGCAGGAAAATAGAAAGGGATGTGACCTAACAGGTCTGTTCTATCCTTGACGTCTTAAGACTCAGAGGCAGGGCCCTTGGAAAACCAGAGATGCTCCCTTTGAAGTCCGTGGGAAGTCTGCCATGCTCTTGACCTGCAGCCAGCCCTCTCAAGGAGGGCAGGGATCCACTGCAGCTCCCCAGAGCATCACTGTCAACTACCAAAGCCATGGTGGGAGCTGGTTCTGACAGGGCACAGGAGAGAAGGCTGCAGGATGAGTTTGGGGAACAACCAGAGATGGGTGAAAAGGTACAACTG